CAAGCAGTAATCCTTTCTCCCAGCCCAGGCTGCGCCTAAGTGAGGAATCAGTGCTGACCTGGGGGAGAGTTGTAAGGACTTCCAGACACTTTGTCTCCACAAAGGGGACTCAGGGACTTTTGTCTTTGCCTCCCTAGTGACTCCTCATAGGACACTAAAGTCCTTCCTTAGAGTGAGCAGCACCTGTTTGGGGGAATGATAGGAAGCCATGTGGGAAACCACAGAAGCAGGTGAGCCAGTTCGTTCCCTGCCCAGTAAATGGGATGGGCAAAAGAACAAACGTCGTTCCAAGGATGCTCAGTCTGGGACGATTAACCCTGAGATTTCTTGACTTCCAGGTGGGGGCAAAAGTAACAACCACTAAGCATCATACTTGGAAGGTTTTTTTTCTTTTTATTTTAAATTGTGTTATTTTTCCAGTCTAGCAGTGTGACACATGAACCCCTCTCTCAGTGGCGGGCAGCTCCCACCAGCACTGCTGTGTTGCTAAGTTGGGCTGTTTGGGAGATTGGGTCGAGTCCATGCATTGTTCTCTCACAAGTGAGGAGGGGTCGTCAGGGCATAACATTATGCTGCATTGAGATTCAGATGTACTTAGGGGTTAACGGATTTCTCAGGGAAGTTCTCGTCACTGCCTAAGAGAGCCCACAAGCCAAGGGTATTTCTTATTTATTATCCATGTGACATGAAGTTTCCCCAAAACATGGGCTAAAAAACAGTGGTACTTTGGCAGATCCAGTTCGATTATGTTCTATCCTACATCTAAGACATCAGTCAAAGAATGAAGTAATTATTGTGATTCTATGCTAGGAAGTTATTTAGACATATTAAACCTGTGAAAACAATCAGTGTTACTTAAAAATGAAGTCCAAGACTCAGGAGTGTGAAGCACCAGACACATGCTAGCATTATTATGATTGCAAGGCGCTTAGAGCTAAAGGCATTTGCAAATGTGTTGATGGTATTAAAATATAGGTTGCCATTACATTTTTAATTTAGATATCCATGGGGTGTCCTTCCATGCTGTTTCATTCACAATGACTAGATAGAAAAATTATTCAGAAATTAAAATCAGACCAACTGGCCCACTTACCCCCAAGTATAAAACACAGATGTAGAAGACAAAAAAAAAATAGGACTTCCTTGGAACTCTCTCATACTGGGCTTTCCAGTCTGCACGTGTGCAACAGGACCCCCTTCATCCATAGATCCCCTCATCCACAACCCATTTGTCTGTCTGCTGTATTTATGTATATTCTTCCTTGTGTGGGCTGGCCACGCTATGATACTTGAAGACTTCCATGAACTGATAAGAACAAATCTAGTTAAATCATCTGCTAATGAAAGATCATTAATGAGCTAAGTTAATGATCAAAGACCATCTGCTTTACTCTTCCACCTTCACTGCTTCCTCTCCTTATCCACGGGTGGACAGGCCTGGCCTTGAACAGAAAAGTGACAGGGGATCGGTCCCTGATTTCTCTGCCTCTGAAACAGAACTCATGGCCCTGCCCAATTCCAGTGGCCCTAAGCAGCTTCGGGGATCAGAAGTGTCTTTATTGGCACAGTGTAGTAGGCTGCCTACAACTGATGATTCCAGCCAGCGAATGGTGGCCTTGAGGAGAGCATGAATAAAAGGGGAGAGGGTCCTGGATGTTCCCACGTGGCTTGATCTGTCTGGGGATCCAGACTCACTAGGGAGGTGGCAAAGTGCATTAGGCCAGTCAGCCCCCTACTCTGCCTTAAGTTGATTGATGGGTAGGCTCAGAGCCAAAGGGCCCATTGGAGAGAGGCTCCTTAATGGACCAGTTCTTTAGCCCGTCCCCAGCGGCTCCCTTGCCCCCACTACTCAGACCTGGGAAGGCTTCTTCCCACGGCATGGGTGGGCTGTGGGGGCAGGTCCAGCTGGCCTGACTGGATCCCAGTCTGCTGGAAGCATCCTGTCTTGTCTCGGAGCCTTCAAACTCATGCTTGAATTTATCTTAAGGAGAAGAAAACCAAATGGCGGCCAACCTTTGAATATGCAGGGCAGTCTGGTGGCCAGAATTAGTGACTGTTTGGATTTTAACTATTTAAACTAGGGTGTGAGTTCATGTACAGTGTGTGTCGTTCAGAGGCTTGATACCAGGTAGGCCCCGGTGCACTCAATCAAGGAGTAAACAGATGGATTCGGGCAAGAATAAGCAAAGGATCTTGGTTTAAATCAGTCTCAGAGGACTAAGAAGACCCTCAGACAAAGGCAATTTTATTTACTGCTTGGTCAGGCCCCAGGCTACGGCTGCCAAGTAAAATACAGCCCTATGCAGGATTTGAGATGTTCGAATTAACACTCTCTCATGTTCATCCGAAACTCAAGTTTCACTTGTGACTCTTGATTTTATTTGCAATGTCTGAACACTCTAAGAGAGGCACTGATGAATAGAATATTGTGAATATATAGGTTTTCTTGTGCTGAATTCATCTGTTTGGTGAACTCAAGTGCAGAACAGTTTCTCTGACATGCCTCCCGTGAACACCTCTCCCTGTGTTCACAGTAATGTTCAGATGCTGCACATCTGCCTGCTCTTAATGGACAGAATGGAACTGTTGTGGACACACACACACACACACACACACACACAATATTCTTGAGAGCCAACCTAGTCTGAACAAGCAGGCACAGAGAGATAGTCACAGAGATTGACCATGGAGTTACAATTAGTTTTTAAGTTTAAAGTGTAGCTTATGCATAGAAACATGAAATAAAAATCTATACATACATAGATATATATGTATATAATCTTGCTGAAAGTTCAAGTGGAATCATGTTATTTTGACCAATTTCAGGAGAAGTAGCTTAACAATGTTGGGTTGTCTAACTCATGCATACTATGGTTTCCTATGAAGAATATTTTTCTTAAGTCATTATTTCATAATTTTCATCATAGAAATCCTCATTAGTATATATATATATATATATATATATATATATATATATATATGAAATATGGATGCATTTTCCTTTGGGGAACATTGGTGGTTTTTTTTTTCAAGTTTTAGCTTCTGCCTGTTACTTGCTAATATGCAGATATCTGGCAAGGCAGCTGTGTCTTAACCTTTAACCTTGCTTCCCATAATCTTGCTAAATTCAGTTATCAGTTTAAAGACTGTCCTGAACATTTCACGGTCGTCTCTATGTGGACCATCGGGTCACTTGCACATACAGGTATCTTGACTTCATTCTTTTCTGTTTACCCTTCATTTTCTTGCATTATTTCACTTCCTAGAATTTCCAATATAAACTGATAGGTACAGTCAAATGCCTGTCTTACTCATACACCTGAAGACTTGAATTTTAAATTAGGTACTTACGTGTATATCTGTGTGTGCACCTCAGTGCAGTGTCCCCAGAGGCCAGAATGGGGCATTAGATTCCCTGGCACTAGAATTACAGGAGGTAACAAGCTGCCCAAGTGGGTACTGGGAACTAAACTTGTTTGCTACAAGAGCAGAAAATGCTCTTAAGGGCTAAGGGGTCCCTCCACACCGCATTTTCCTTCCTAATACAAGCCCACAGAGCTCCGGGGCTGCCTTAGATTGCGTTTGGCTCTCCTAGGTTTTGATCTGCTTTCCCTTGTCCAGACTGTGGAGATTTGGGAATGTGTCGCTCCATTGCTGAGTGTATAGAGCCTGTCTCTAGCTGTCGCCTCCCTCACTGCTCAGTATCAGTCTCCCTCTCCAGACAGCAGGAACAACACTGGGTCTCCTGAGACTGTTGAAGAGTGGGAACACTCTGTGTTCTTAGTAACTAACGGTTAAGAACCACCATTACCAGTGCTATGCAGTATTAGACAATCTATATCCCCTAGCAGCTCTGTAAAGGGACTGTTTTCACAAATAAGGAGACTGGGGCAGAGAGTTAAAGAAAATTGCTAACTGCCGGACTAGACTTCTAAGACAACTCTCCACATTCTAGGGCTCTGTGTGGTGCTCTCTGTGCTGCCCCCAAACCTAGTTATACAGAGCAATCTATAGTTGAGTGTTGGTGTGAAGGATGTGGGGGAGGCTGTGGAGCAGTGGAGATGAAAGAGCATTCTCTAGAAGCTTTGGCAGCCCCACCCTGGCACCCTCCATACCCAGGGAGAGGAGGGGCACTCTGGATGCTGCTCCCCAGACCCAGGGCTGCTCTTACCGCTCCATAGTTACAGTAAACAAAGCCTGCTAGCTCTTATAGGTCTCAAATGGGAAAGGGATATGATAGCCATTTTTAACACTCGCTGTTTCCTCCCTTCCAGGCTTCTGCTGCCTTTGACGCAGCAGCCCCTCCCTCCGCAGCCTCCCAGGATGGTCTTTTGACAATGCTAAGGAGACTCTGTATGTGAAAGTCTGGGAAAGTAGAACATAGCCAAGCATACACACTCATGCACATGCACACACAAACACACAGGCACAGACAGACAGACACAATCCACACACACATACACACAAACAACCTAGAGTCAGAAGGACACACACACATACACCATACACACACACACAACCTGGAGTCAGAAGGACACACACACACTTACACATACACCACACACACACACACACACACACACACACACGCACGCACGCACGCACACACCCTGGAGTCACAAGTCTACTTCCCAGGAAAATGGCCAGAGAATAAGACAGTGAGAGCAGCACTGAGCATCCTTCAGCTCAGCACTGCGTCTCACATCTGGGAACCTGACATCTGGAGAGATGAGAACTGTTGAAGACCTCTGATACTTTTGCTACTGCTGCTATCCTGATTCTTCTCTTCTACCCTGTTTTGTTTTCTTTTTTTTTTCTCTCTCTCTCTCTCTGTACCATCAGGAGTCACAGCACAGGGTGGTGTCCTCTACTAACCAGATTTATCTTGTTCTGTTCTTATCAGAGCTTCCCTTCTAGCAGTTTTATGTAACTCCTTCCTCAACATCATCAGCATCAACTCAGAAAAATATCCTTCAAATACACTCTTATACTAAGAGACCATGGCCAAGGGCGGGAAAGGCCCCAAGGGCAAGAAGATCACTCTCAATGTGGCCAAGAATTGCATCAAAATCACCTTTGATGGGAAAAAACGCCTTGATCTGAGCAAGATGGGAATCACCACCTTTCCCAAGTGCATCCTGCGCCTCAATGATGTGGACGAGCTCGACCTCAGCCGGAACCTCATCAGGAAGATCCCAGACTCCATCTCCAAGTTCCAGAACCTGCGGTGGCTGGACCTGCACAGCAACTACATAGACAAGATCCCTGAGACCATCGGTCAGATGACCTCCTTGCTCTTCCTCAACGTGAGTAACAACAGGCTGACCACAAACGGGCTGCCCGTGGAGCTGAACCAGCTCAAGAACATCCGCACTGTGAATCTGGGCCTCAACCACCTGGACAGCGTGCCCACCACGCTGGGGGCACTGAAGGAGCTTCATGAGGTGGGGCTACATGACAACCTGCTGAATACCATCCCTGCCAGCATCGCCAACCTTCCCAAACTGAAGAAGCTCAACATAAAAGGGAACCCCTTTCCAAAGGCAGATGAGACAGACGCATTTGTGGACACCATCAAAAGGCTGGAAAACCTCTATCTGGTGGAAGAGAAGGATCTGTGTACAGCGTGCCTGCAAAAATGCCAACAGGCCAGGGAAAAGTTGTACAAAATCAAGAGCATGGCCCCCACGACACCAAGAAAGGCCATCTTTTCCAATTTGGTTTCACCCAACTCAATGGCCAAGGATTCCCAGGAAGACTGGAGGTGACCTGGGACCCTGACCCTGAGGCAGGAAGGGAAGAGGTGGTAAGGGGGAGGCAGTGAGCTGCACCCAAAGGAAAGTACTCTTGTGTTACTATAGGAGTCTTTTCATCCAAACCATAAAACATCCTTCCCTACCTCTCCGACTATGGTTTGGTTGATTGAGGGACTTTCTGTCTCTTGCTATTCTGCATACTTTATTATTTCTTTCCATACATGCAGCTCGGGGAACAAAGAAGCCCTCATCTATCTGTCCATCTCATTTCTGTCCCGAATGCTCCTGGTGTCACCCATTGCCCAGGGAACTAATGCTACCAACATACTCTATCACTAGCATTTGGGGGCGCATTGTCAGTTCCCAAATATGGAACTCATTCCATGGGAAAGTTTCGGATGTAGGCCTCTAGGCCAGCAGTCTCTTAGGGGTTGGTAGAAAAGCAAACGTCCCAGAGATGGACAGGCATTACCACTAAACTTTGCCAGGAAATAGCCAGAAGCAGCACTTGCAACTACATTTGCACAGCTGCTCTAGGAGCTTTCCTGAAGGCCCTTGACGGACTGTGAATGCGCCCGGTGCCCTTTAGGACTCTTAGATAATGAAAGATGTCATTGTCGTAGACACAAGGACCGTGTGCAAAGAGAAAGCTTGGTTGGTATTGTGCCAGTTCTGAGAGGAGCTGGTCGGAGCATTCTGACTGAGAAACTTAAGAAGTTGGGGACTTTTTAGCTTCTAAGCCAGGTAGCACAGAGCAGACACTCAGGGGACTTCAGTTCCATCCACAAACGAGAGCCTAGAGTGCAGCCGAAAGACTGCCATAGGCAGAGTCAGGAGCCACACTAGTTCTTCAGGCAAAAATAGCAGTTGTGGTGACAATGTTCCCATTATTGTAAGGCCCCACCCCCAACAGACACACAACCCTACCATGTGTCCCTTTCACTCACAACTTCATAGGCCTGAGAACACAGGACTGAGGAAGATACCCTGCAAAAAGGCCCTTCCACTGACTTGGCTAAGTGGGTGGCAAGTTATGCAGTAGTGGCCAGTGTACAGCTCTGATGGCCTCCATGCAAGGGACAGGCAGTGGCCAGTGCACAGCTCTGGAGGCCTCCATGCAAGGGACAGGCAGTGGCCAGTGCACAGCTCTGATGGCCTCCATGCAAGGGACAGGCAGTGACCAGTGCACAGCTGTGGAGGCCTCCATGCAAGGGACGGGCAGTGACCAGTGCACAGCTGTGGAGGCCTCCATGCAAGGGATGGGCAGTGACCAGTGCACAGCTCAGATGGCCTCCATGCAAGAGACGGGGAGTGACCAGTGCACAGCTGTGGAGGTCTCTGTGCAGGGGACAGCTCTGATGGCCTCCGTGCAAGAGATGGGCAGTGACCAGTGCACAGCTCTGAAGGCTTCTGTGCAGGGGACAGGCTCATTTCTTTACACTGTAAGCAACAGTAGACAGCATCTTTCATCTTCCAGCTCCTTAGGATTCATTTTCCTTTCATAATGCTTAGCTTGCAACATTCCCTATCAGACGTCTAAAATCTCAGAATTTTGAGCTTTCCTGAAGGCCCTTGACGGACTGTGAACGTGCCCGGTGCCCTTTAGGACTCTTAGATAATAAAAGATGTCATTGTAGTAGACACAAGGACCGTGTACAAAGAGAAAGCTTGGTTGGTATTGTGCCAGCTCAAAATTCCTGCTGCAGTTTCCCCTGCTTATTAAATATTTTTCATTACAAAAATAACCCAAACAGTCTAGTTTTAAATAGAATAGCTGACCATGTCCACCATTCTGTGGCGTAAGCCAGCTGTAATAGTGGCATGCTTTCTTCCTGGTTATTTTTCTGTGTGTATGCTTCCACATGGCTAAAATCAGAGCATTCGTGTCATTTCTACCCTGTTTTGAAACCCACATTGTCACATGGTCTTTGAAGCTAACATCACAAACATCTGCAAGACGCTCGTTCTCATGATATGCAGAACTATACATTCCTGTGGGCATTTAAGTTGTTTCTAATTTTTGCACTAATGAAAATGGTTCTGTGATGAGCACCCGGATGACTAACACATGGTACCATGGTTTAGATTATTTCCTGGCAGTCTTGCATCATTGCAAATAGTGTGTCCAAGGGTCTTTGTTTAAATAGCTGTGACACATGTCATCAAGTAGACTGTACACATTTCTACCCACCAGCAATATACATCACAAAACCACTCGCCAAATACTCCCCTGTGTGGTTGCTTTCTCTTCCTTTAATATCACAGATGATTTATTGGGAAGCCATCTAAAGGGGATGTTATATCTGAGATGTGAATAACTACAACAGAGCCCTGGGCACAAGGATCCGTGTAGGAAACTTGTCTATTGGGAGTAGAAATGGTCACTCAAACAGCTCTGATCTTAGGAAAAAGATATTCTCATCAGGTCTGCTGATGGGGCCCATAGCTAAGTCTGCATGGTTGTGTTTCCCGGCTTTTGTTTCTTCTTCTCTTTTCTCCTTTTCCCACCCTGCCAGCAACATTTCTTCTAAGCTACTCAGGAATTCACTGTGTACACCACAACACTAGCCAGAGATAGAAAGTAAGTGCTGAGCATCTTTCTGTTCAGTCCTGCATCCCTAACATCTGGGCAACTGATGTCTCAAGAAGATGTGAGCTGATGGCCTTTGCTGTGGGTTGCTGCTGTTGATGCCCTGACTTCTCTCTGCTACCCTGCTTCTTTCTCTGTAGCATCAGGGATCAGAGCACAGTGTACTGCCTTCTCCTAACTAGACCCATCTATTTTGGTCCTTATTGGGGTCAGTCTTCCAGCAGAGATTGGGCCATCTCTTCCTCTCAAATGCTTGGATTAAATGGACCACCACACAAGCTGTTTCTCTTTTCCTACAAGTTCTAACACTGCTATGGGGGAAAGATACTTAGAATTTCTGTCTTTCAAGTTTTAGGCAAAACTCCAAATAAATTCATTTACAAAGTAGCTAGCCGAGTCTTCAGGTTGTAAGCTCTGGTGACAGAATTTGTCTGGCCCCTCAGCAAGAGCATAGAGTTCTGCCTTTTAGATGGGAAACCTCAGGGCTTCCATCTGTGGCTCAGTGACTATGGGTAAAATCTGGGATAGTGACAGTCCCTGCAGTTGTCAAAACTAGTATTTCCTTCCTTCCTTCCTTCCTTCCTTCCTCCCTCCCTCCCTCCCTCCCTCCCTCCCTTCCTCCTTCTTTCCTTCCTTCCTTCTTCCCTCTTACTTTGTCCCTCCCTCCCTCCTTCCCTCCCTCCCTTCTCTTTCCTAGCATCAACAGCACCTTCTGCCTAGCTTGTGATAGAATGGAAGGATTCCTGCAGTCCCATGGCTTGAGAGACTAAGGCGTTATTGCTGAGAGTTAGATGGTAGCCAAGATTAAATAGCAAGAATATAATTTTTAAAAAAAGGAATGATTTGAAAATGACAGACATCTACGTCCCCAGTAAATCCCATCTGTTCACAGCGAGGTTTCACTCTCCCACGTCTTCTTCCCTTGTGACTTTTAGCCAGTTTGTGACCCCATTGGGAGGCTTCTGTGGTTCTTTTTTTGCACCCAAATCTAGGGTTCTTCTTGGAACTGCTTGTCAAGAAAGTTTGGAGTTTGCTGTTGTTGTTGTTCTTAGTCTGTGCTTTTGGTGACAGTGTGCAAAGACAGTGAGAAACTTAGAGGCCCAGGGCTATTTGAACATCTCTGTTGTGGTCTGCAGGAGAACCCAAAGCGTTGATTTCTTCTGAGCTTGCTGGAGAGATGTGGATGATTACTTCATTCTTGTGGAATTGCATGGCACAAGTGATTTAATATCCACTCTGATGATGTACTTGGTTTCTAGAAATGGCTGTCTGGAACACCTGGCTACTATGTCTTGCACCTTGCTAAGGTCTTGGGTGAAGTGGCTGGCAGAATACCTGGCTACTATGTCTTGTACCTTGCTAAGGTCTTGGGTGAAGTGGCTGGCAGAATACCTGGCTACTATATCTTGTACCTTTCTGAGGTCTTTGGTGAATTCAGAGTTTTAGCCAAGGCTCTCAGGACATATCATTTTCATTCCAGGCATGGAGACTTCTACAGGAATCCTTATCCCAAGCACTCCAGTTAGGAGGGGGAGTCTCAGATGTGCCCACTAAAGAGCCAGGCTCGCAACTACAGCTTCTTTCTCTCTGACTCAGGCATTTCAGGATCCATACAGAAACATGATCTAGGAGAGAGCAGCAGTCTGTGGATGCTGTCCAGTCCAACTGCTCCTCCTGAAGCTCTTTCTCTGGAGGATGGGTACAACCTTTCCTAGGTATCCAGAGAAGTCAGCAAAGAGAAGTTAAGGAAAACATTGCAGCTACAGTCCGTGCCGAGAAGGGTCTGGGTCTTGACTGTGGATTCTCCTGTCTGCTGTCTCTACTGTCCTCTCCCTGCCTCATCCCCACTGGAGTTGCCACCTCTCGGCATGCTTATCACTGGTCCTCAGAATCACCTCGCTCACGGACTTGCCGCCTTCCATTGGGCTAGTGTACACAATGATGCTTCCTTTCCATCCTCACTGAAGGTGCTTCCTGCCACTTTCGCTTTTTCCTGGGTCTCAGAAAGGGGTTTAAGCACACTGAACTTCATTAGGATTGAGAACTAAGCAGGCAGACATCTTTGATTTGTCTGGCATGCACTCCAGTCAGACCCATTTTTAGCTAGGAAGCGCTGGCTACCAGACAGCGCAAAGATTGGAGAGATTGAGCACTTAGCCACCATCTTCTGCATCTTATTCAATATTGATACTCTTTCCTTCTATAAAATGCCACTGCCATGTTTATTCCTTGGAAGTTGCATTAAGCCTGGAATTACTTGATACAAAGCCATGGGTTTCTCTTTTCTCAAGTACAACAGAAACCGTCCACCATGACAGTAGTCCCTATTTCTCAGAGCCAGATCCAGTCTGGGTGGCCCTGGTGTGATCACAGTGTGACCTGTGTTTTGCCCTGGTTGCCTGGAGCAGTTGCCTTAGTATCTTCTGTCTCTATTCCTCAGGATGCGCTCACC